GTTCTGGGAATGCAGAAGACTTGGACAAGGTAAGTCTTTTCGTTTAAAAGACTTTTCAAGCACAGGAGAAAACGACATACAAGTATAAGGCAAGATTTTAAATGTCATAAGAAGGATACAAATAACTAGATGTCAGAATAAAGAGAATTTCTAAAGGGGTGAAGGTAGGAAGAGTGAGTGCAGGACATTTTTCATGGAGGTTGTTGTTAGCTGCTACTGGTGTGTTGGCTCCTAATTTGTGGTGAACCCCATGCACAATGGAATGAAATGCTGCTTGGTCCCACGCCATCCCTGTGGTCAGCTGAGGATTGATCGGACCGTTGTGATACATAGAGTTTTCATTGGCTGATTTTTCAGAAGTAGCTCACCAGGTCTTCCTAGTCTGTCTTAGTCTGGAAGCTCTGCTGAAACCTGTTCAAAGCAACTCTCAAGCTTCCACTGATGAGACTGTGCTTGAGGTTCATTGGCTGGAAATCGAACCCAGTCTATCACATGCAAGGTGACAGTTCTATTACTGAACGACCACTGCCCTTCGTGGAGGTGGTTGTTAGTTGTCATCAGTTGGCTCTGACTCATGGTAACTCCATGTATGACAGAACGAAATGTTGCTCAATCCTGTCCTAGTCTCATGATCTTTGTTATCCTCGAGTTCATTGTTACAACCACTGTGTATTTTGAGTGCCTTCCAACCTAGGGGGCTCATCTTTCAGCACAGTATTGGACAGTATTCTCTTGTGATCCGTGGGATTTTTGTTGACTAATTTTCGGAAGTAGATCGCCAGGGCATAACTTTCTAGTCTGTCTTAGTCGGGAAGCTCCGCTGAAACTTGTCCATCATGGGTAACCCTGCTGTTATGTCAAGTCAGGTGGCATAGCTTCCAGCATCATAGCAACCACCCATCTGTCATTAATGTAGCAGCATTTAAACTGGGTTTTCATAGGCAGGGATGATTTTTGATTTATAAAAATGCAGAGAAGAGGAAGATAAAGAATAGCAAAATTGAAGAATCATGAGTAAATGTGAGAGAAGGAAGGTAAGTTATTGCCAGATCACAGACATTTTTAATTTCAGTCTGGAGGCAGGCGGAGCCATGAATATCAGGGAGATAGGCTGGTGGAGTAGAAGTAACTTCAACTGAGTTTTAATACTAGTATTCCTGATTACTGTGTACTTAAGCAAATCATTTGTCATTTTTAAGCCTGGGTTTCCTAATTTTATAAAATAAGGATAGCCTTTGTTTTGTCCTGTAAGATTGTACTGAAATGCTTTAAAAACCGAGTTGGCATTAATCAGTTGATTTTGTTGAGCCATATTGCAGAGAGATTAATGTAGCACCAGTTTGTAGAGTAGATTGGAAGCCCCTTTTTCTGGTGACTGGAGGTGGAAGATCAGTTAGAAGACTCGAAATAGTCCAGGCAGTGAAATAACATGTTTTCCCTTTTGTATTTGTAACCATATAAATTCATTACCTATACAAAAATAAACATTCAAAAAAATTATCAAGTGATTTTAGATTGGGAAAGGGCATGAGGGAACTGATGCAAAATGCATAGAAATATATCCGATTTTGGAAACAGGATATGAGGAGATATGCTGTGGTTGGTTAATCATAAAATGTTTGTTGATGGTAGTAGGTATACAGGTTGCACATTAGATCACAGAAGGATCTGAATTTTAAATTTTGTCTCTTTTTAACACAATGCTTGATAAGTAATTTCATATCTACTGCATTTTATTGCAGTTGTTCCATGATTGCCTGTTGTGTCACAGCTGCCTTTCTAATAATCTTAAAGCATGTGCCTGCAGTTTGACCATTTTAGGATGAACACTTTTGTTTCAGCCCTGGTTGAATTTCCTAGATTTGGAAAGGGTCCTGTTTTCCTTTATAATATAGAACATATAGAAATGGACATAAATAATTTCTAATATGGCGTAGGGACCTTTTTTTCCCAAGGACTTGTCATTTTAGCATCCATACTGGCTGCTTGATTTGCTAATTTAAGTCTACTTTATGACTATAATAATACTGAATTTATTTTGTAGTGGTATTAGTCTGAAAGGTAACCTGGAAAGAATTTATAGAAGATAAAATCTAACTCCTAGATTTCACTAGCTTTAAGTCCTGGGGATGAGAGAAATACCCACCCTTGCTGTAAAAGAAACATTCTACTATCACAGTGGTAGCAATTTCATTCCAAGTGACTTGAATTTGATATTTTAGGTTTATAAATTGAACTGGGTTAAAATAAGTATAGCAGTAGAAAAGAGCAAAAAAAAAAGGAAGAAAATTTTTGAGTTCCACGTTTCCATTGCTGAAACCATTGTGTGTGTATTTAGAGGTAGTCCAAACAATTTATTCTGAGTTGGATGTAGCTCCAAATTGGGACATACAGGATTAAAATTGATACAGCTAACAGTTGGTTAAGCATCTACTAAAAAGCTGGTGGCTTCTAACCACCTTAGTCAGATTGAATTGAAATGTGCTGTGTTTCTCTTTGGGTATAGTCAAACTGAGGAGCCCTGGTGGTGCAATGGTTAAGTGCTTGGCTGCTTACTGAAAGGTTGGCGGTTCGAACCCACCAGGTGCTCCATGGGAAAAAAGACCTGGCTATCCGCTCCCGTAAAGATTTCAGCCTTGGAAACACTATGGGGCAGTTTTCCTCTGTCATATAGTGTTGTTGTGAGTCAGAATTGACTCGATGGGACACAGCAACAACAGATAGTCAAACTGAAAAAATAAAATGGGGGGGTGGAATTTCTGAAAGAATAGGCAGGTACAGTTACAGTGGAAATCAGAATACCAGAATATGTTGGGATAGCCAGTAATCATCAAAAGATGGGTAAATCTGGATTAGGAAAAAAGCAAAATTTAAATTCACCACTCCTATCCACATTGGACATGCTGAATTCTACAGAATTTGGTTTAAAATGGCTTAGTCAAGAATTGGAAGGGATGATTAGTAAATTGATTTCGGGGTTCTCAGTTGTGGGAGTCAGCTTGTTTGGCCTTACATTTGATCTGTTTTCTATCTGGGAGGAGCCGTTATGTGCTGAGGTCATAATGTAGATGTTGATTTTTTAAATGTTCTGTTAAACTTGGACAGTTGTATCGTCCATTCTTCAATTTTAAAGGCAGAGAATTAAGCCTCTAGTTGACTTTAGCTCTTTTAGCTTCAGTTTTGTTTGTTTTTTCTCTTTGAGGGATTTTAGATTTAAATGCTGAATCTAATTGGTTGGACGATATGAAATTGCCATTTCTTTAGGTCAAAAAAGTTAAATAGCAGCCATTTCAGATGGATCTAATAACTACTTTGTGGTACATTATTCCTGGTTGGTTTATGAATAGTATTTCATTCAAATTAATATTTATTTATTGAACCAAGCACTGTGTGAGGCAATGGTGATAAGTAAATGAAAAGAGAGAGGGTTTATGTCATTTAGGAACTCTGTTTAATACACGGAAAGATTTGTAGAAAATTATGTAAAATGCAGTTGGAACATAGAGAAGCCCCTAAGGTAGGGGGAGAGGATGCAGGGGAGGGTAATCAGTCAGTATTGCAGTAAGTAGAAGTTGGCCTATTTAATGTGATTGGAGAGTTAAGAGTATTTTAGCTGGGGGAAATGGTATTGTATTTGAGGATTGCCAGTAGTTTAGTTTCTTTCAAGAAAGAGTGGTTCAAGTTAAAGATCTTTAACTTACTCATCTAATTTTATTGATCTAGCAGTGATTCCTTGAATGGGGTTTTATCTAGATAATTACTTTAATGATTTTGAGTAATTAACCTATTGATCCAAACATCCAATTCTGATGAATTTTTAAAAATCTTTTCAGCAAGTTTGATTTTGGGAGAGGCGGGGTTGTGGGAATGTGATTCTACTATTCACCTGCCCCCATACACATTCAATGAAAAAAAGTCATAGTTTTAGATCTACACACTTGCTTTCTTTTAGCCCTGGGGAAGGATTCTGCAACATCCTTAGCTGTAATTCATATCTAGATATATCCCACATTAATGAGTTCAGTTTTATTTTTCTTTATTAAAGTTGGTTGCTGAGGATTTATACAGAATCTAGTTACCAGAATAAAATCACCTTTTGTCCTTCCAAAATGATAGTTGTATAGCCATGGAAAGAGCACTTATCCTCAGTGTTATAGTTCAAAAACAAGAAGTTTTTGTTTAAATTAATCATGTAGTAGTATAGTACTTTCCTTTCAAAGTCTGGTTTTGTCATTTGGTAGTTATTTACTATCTTACTCATCAAGACTTCAAATACTCCTTTCTGTGAAGCTTTCTTGTGTACTTCCAGGTAGAGATTTCTTATTGCCCTGTCTGTATGTTGCTCTAGCAGTTTCGTCATGTACGTATTTCCCTTATTGTAAGATGCTAGAGTAAGCTAATAAGCACATTGTAGATATTCAAGCTTTAAATGTAACTGGAACAAATGAGGATTGTGTGTTATTAATAAATGGGTACAGATTGACATTTTGACCATATTGGTTAAAATAGTAGGCATAGTTTGGTGTCAACCACTTGCCTAGAGTCAAGGGGTAAAGTAAAATTTTAATAAGGCATTTTAAACATCAAGTATAATCAGATTTAAACTTGATTCATTCAACAGATTTGGGCGCCTTGTTGCCGAGAAATACTTGGTGTTTTTTAATAATGGTGAACTGTTGTAAAAGATACAGATATAGCACGCTTCCGCATATCTTTGCGATTTGCAAAGATAAAATTGTTCTTCTGGCAATTTGATTTCAGATAATAATTTCTGTAACACTTGGGACAATCTGGATGATACTTTTAAGAATTACAGGAAAATATGAGTTTGTCTGAGGTTCATAGAACAGTGCTGTTTCAGTGCTACCTTTAACCCAGCAGTAATCAGTTTAGGTTTATTAAGTTTAAAGTGAAGAGCATGACTTCAAACTTGACTCTCCAGAACTTAGAGTGTAAAAAAACCTTTTTTATGTTTTCTTCTGTTTTTTTTCTCTTTACAGAAATGGAATCTATTTGGAATTTGCAGAAGCAAGGTAAGAATGGTTATGTTACCTGGAACGTAGGGAGTACTAATCAGTAATCACTGAACATTATTGTTGGGTGGGAATAACAGACCGGTAGTGTGGCTTACCAAATAAATAGACTTTGTATTTTGAGTTATTTTTAACTGCAGTAAAAAGGCACTAGCTATCATACCAGAACAGCTAAGGACAGGGTAGCAGTGGAAATGAAAAGAAAGATACTACCTGGGTCAAGAACATGAAATTTTTTTTTTCCCCCCTGATTATGAAGGTAATGCAGGCCAGAAGTATTTTCATCCAGGAAACCAACATGAATAAGTATTTCCACTTGTAACCAGTCTTTGTATTTTTGTGGAACACAAGGGATAGCCTAAGAACTGAAATTCATGGAAAAATATTAGCTGTTTTACAGAAACTTTATCTGGGCTATGTATTTGCTGAAAAGATGGTTATAAATAAATAACAAATTAGCTTCCTTACCCTTCGATGAGCAAGATGTGAATAGCAGGTGGGTAGAGGGACTAGATAATCCACATTTTGATTATTTGCAGTTTTAAAACAATTAAGATTAGTTATCCTAATTATTATGTGCCCTCTTTCCAAGTATATTATAGTAGTTGTGGAATGCCTGAAATAAAGTGCTAGTTTTGTTTTGGAGAATTAGTCACTGACTAATACATTCAGGTTTTCAGGACCCTGTAACTGACTTGTATCCTACTCCCCATCCACTTTGTTCGTTAATATAAGTGAATTTCAGATAAATGTGAAATTCTTAGAATTTCAGAACGTAAAGGACTTCAGAGTTACTCTTCTATTTTATTTTAGAGATTAGGAAATGAGGCCCAGAAAGACTATTATATAAACCAGAGAGAGACAGGACTAGAATGTAGGATCTCCTGATTTCCCAGCATTGCGCTGTCTTCCACCTCCCCCTTGTTATAAGGCTAAGTCTTTTTGTCTAACAGCTGTGGCCTGAAGATAATTAGCAATCTGACTTGCTTTCTGTATTTTTTGAATACTTTCTTATTCAAGCATAAATGCAAAGACGGTAGTCTAGAAAATATACCTTACAAAGGTAGATGTACCTGTTTCTTTATGATTGTCCATTAGGTGACCAGTTTTGTTGGTTTACCTGTTTTTTATTAAACTAGGTATATTTTTAAAAGTTCTTATGATAGGTATTGTGTGTGATAAAATCATTGCCTCTCCAGAAGAGGGGAGCAGACAGCTAAACAAACAGTAGAAATTTGGCCTTTAGAATAATACCTGGGAAAATATGTCAAATCCTATTGTCAAATGAAAACAAGGGCATTTTTTCTCACTTTGATTATATCGTTATGTACTTGATATTTTTAAAAAATAAATAATAACCAAACATTTAAAAAAACAGGAATAACACCTGGGATCTTTGATCAGACACATTATGACAGTTTTATACTTACAACCCAAGACATCTGTAGACTTTTGCTATTGCTAAGAATCAAGCTGGTGGTACTGTGGGAAATTAGGAAGAAGGAATAAGTCACAATTAGCACTGAATCGGTACTTTCTGCCAAACTAACTTAGCCTGAAGTTTTTGCTGCTAGGTTTTACTTGTACAGTTCCTTGCTAGACAGACAGCTCACACTGGTTGAAATAAATTTTGATTTCATTTTGCTGAGAAGAGCAGAAGAAAATACATCCAAGTGTTTTAGTATTGAATTATTATTTCTTTGTCCACTTTTTCAAATGTATTACTATTAGAATAAACACATAGAAAACCCTAGTTAACTCACCCATCTGTAATCTGTATGAGTTGGGGCCCTCACTGGCTAGAGGACCTTGTCGCTGTGAATCCATTGGAATACTTAACAGCTACCTTTGGGTTGAGAAAGTGGATCACATATGTTAATGCAAAGAGGACGTGGCCTTTAAATTGTGTTTTTATAAAGAAGGGCCAATTTAAATACATGATGATGGTTATTTTGGGATTTGGGGGGCAGGGGAGGACGTGGGCATTTTGAGGGGCAGACCTTATTTTTGTTTCTATTTTAACCTTCCCTGCAGATCCCAAAAGGATAATCACTTACAATGAAGCCATGGATAGTCCAGATCAATGAAGGTAGCAGGACCAGACTGCCTATTCGTAACCTTTCTGCAGCATTAGAGCCACCGTTCATGGGGGACGCAAGGCTTTTATGCTCCTAGATCTTCAATGCAGCAGAGGAACCATAAGTAGAATCACAGGATAATATATACAAATATATATATATATATATATAGTTATTTAAAAAAAAGGCAACTGAAAGTAATTAGACTTCTTAAGGAATCAAAAATTATTTCAAGAGACTACACATGGTTATTTAATCTCCGGTACTGAATAGTTTTTCCTCCCCGCCCCCCTTTTTTTAGATTTTGTTTTTAAGAGTGAATGCAAGTGAGTAATGAATACAGACTTAACAAGCGTGGTTCTAAAGTTCCTGCTGTCATCAACTTGGGCAACAAATGACCCACTGGAAAGGCAAATCCACTTAAAAGATCTCTGTATCTTGTTCGGTGACTAAAGTGATACACTAATCACGGGGAACCCAGAATGATTCAACATTTTCCCCACTCCTCCCTTGATCTTTGGTTTTACTTTGAACCCTGCAAGAATGCTGGATAAATGCCTTGAAGTTTGCAGGGGTATATTTTTTTTAGCGAATATGATTTGCATGTCTTGCCAGGAGTTAAGCTCGACCTCTGTGGGGTGTTGGGGAAATACTTCTCTTTCTTTCCTTTTATTTTTTTGTTGGGTGGGGAGAGGGGAGGGCATTAAAGTTCTACAATTCTGAAATAGTTGGTGGTACATAGTCACTTGGCTTTGGTTACACATTGGACTTTTACAACTGAAGAATCCATGAGTGTCATTTAAAGAAAAGTTGCAGAACAAGCAATTGGCTTAGGTATTTAATATGGAAAAAATACCCCTGTTCCCATATTTTAATGTAATTGTATAACTGGGAGCAAAAACATACTCTGCTTTTCAACTGTAGATGCTCCAGACTTGCTATATGTCAGTAACACTAAATGTGCTGTTTTCCTTGTTTTTCATCAAACATCTGAAGAGAAATTATTGTATCTTTCTGTAAATTCTCTCCCTTTTAATTTCTCAGAAAAATCTAACAGGAAGAAAAAAGCCCATTAAAACTAAAACTTTTCATGTTTTTAGCCAGTGAGGAGGTAATAAACCCTGCCTGTAGAAAGTGTTTTCATGCAAACTATACTTTTGAGCTTTTTAGCTTCTAATGATATCTTTATAAATATATTTTATTACTAGAGCAAAATGGGTGTTTTAAGGAAAATAATGTGAAATTCTGGAAATTTTTCTTTTGGGCAGAGAAGAGCAAAGCCCTGTCTTACCATCACATTGCCATCCTGTTGCACTGCAGCTTGTGTATAGCATGCTAAAATAAATTTTATTGTGTGTGCAGAAACTAAGGGTCCAATTTAAGATTGGGTGATGGCATAAAAACAAGTTCTCTGGCCTGACATAGCATCACATCACACACACAGAAATTAGTATATCCATGTATGTCAAATACAGGTTAAGATAGCAGGGCATTTTATATGACGTGTAGTCTTCTAATAAAAGTAGGTTATATCCCCCGGAGCATTTGGGGGAGAAAGTAACTGCTTTTGCTCTACCTGTCTGCTTACGAAATGTCCAGTTTTGAGAGACTGTAGTATGAATGGGTTTTCTTGTTTTGTTGGTTATTTGGGGCTTTTAACAAGTAGTTCATGAAAGAAGCTGTTGGACTCAACATAGATAGAGAAATTAAAAATATCTTTTTAGTCTGGATTTCTGCCCTGCTTAGATTTTAAAAGTATAAGCATGGATTGCCAATTCCACTTGATGTAAACAAAACTTTTTATACATAATATATATATAACTTATTGTATCAGTCCAGGTTCAGAAACTTGTGGTAGGCCAGTTCCAGATAGTTTTCATTTCACCTGTAAACTGTATCACTTTTACTGATATTGTAATTTTCAAATGTATGATATGTTTACAAATGTGCCCTGCATTTAGTCTGCCTTGTTCCTGTTTTGATTTTTGTTGAGTCTCCTGCCTGCTTGCCAAAAGCTAGGATGCTTCAGGCCCATGTACAATTGAAAGCAGAGGCATCCTTGAGCTTTAAAGCATTGAACAAACTGGAAAATACAACATTACCACATCCTGAAGTGAAAGAAGTCTGTGTTTCTGTGTTTTTTTAAATAAAAAAAATTTTTTTTTAAGTTTAAAAAAAAAAAGATTGATTAAAGAAAAAAAAAAAAGGCTCCAGTTTGTTTTATAGGTTTTAAAGTTCTGCTGTGTGTTCAATTGCCTTGTGTAAACCACTTGTCGCCTTAGGGCCAGATTCTTTTTTTTTTAACGTCCATTTTGCTTGCCTGGAATTTTAAGGCTCTTCTGGCTCACAACTCACAGGAAATTTTCTGCATTTGTGACATACAGAGATTGAATGAATATATATTTAAAAAGGGAGGGGAAAAAAAAGAACAGATCCCATCTGAATTGAGCTTTTTAGAAGTTTAGAAGCAACATTTACTTAATAAAAAAACAACAAAACTTCAGTAAAAAGCTTTGGCTTTCCTACTTCCCTTCAATATCCCTCAGGCCTCCATATTCAGAGAAGTCAAAAAGAATTTATTTATTCTCTGTTTGCCCAAAGGTTTTTGAGAGTCTCGCTTCTAAATAAAACAATGCAACATATCACTTAATTTCTCCATTGAAGTTTCCTTGATTGTATGGTTAGAGGTATATAGTTAGAACTGTCTCTTTAACTTTCTGGGAACCCTACTGCCCCATCATATTAACTGTCAGTATTTTTTGGGCATTGGGTTAACGGACTTAATTGCCTAGGTACAAGCAGGACTTTGGGACAAATCTCTGTGCTGTTTTGTAACACTTAATTCTCTACTTGTCAAAATCTCTCCTTAGGTCCTCACACAATTCCTTACAGAGCACTTATTAAAAAAAAATCTTAAGAGTTTTGATCTGTTTTCTGATTATTTTTGTGTAAGCTTCTAAACAAACTTCAGCTGTGATTAATTTAGCACATTTAAATAACATTAATGTGTTATTGTTGGGTATAAAGAATTTTCCTTCAACTCAGAGTATTAGTACTGTAGCATAAACCAAATACAGTCTAGAAGGGATTTTTAACATCCTTCCATTATAAAGACTGAAAAAGGTGTGTGTCTCTGTGTATATGTATGTTGAGTGCTTGTGTATGTGTGGGAAAGAGGGAGATATTAAAAATTAGGAAGTGAATGTGTGTAAGACATTAGTATTCAGAGAAAGAGCTTGTATTTATTTTGTGCCATTTGTTTTCATTACACAGAATAAAGTCAGGTGGTTTTAATCCTTAAAAGGGTAGTATTTGAAAAATGGCACTAAGAGTGAAATCATGACCTATTTTTTTAATAGCTATGAAGATACTAATTATGGGTGAAGATTTCTTTTTTATCTTGATTGTAGGCTTCTGTGTCACATACCACTCTCCTTGTCTTCAGTAATCCCCCCTCCCCACAAAAGACAGGGTGTATTTATCTTTTTATTCACCCCCACTTTTCTAAACTGAAATTATTTGCATAGCCTTTCCTCTAATTTCCTTAGTAAGGAACCTTTACTGTATTTACTCCATCTGTAGTGGCCCTTCCTCCACTGCCTTCTTTCTGGAAAGGGATAGCCAATAACTAGGAATTTGTTAAAAACTTTTTTCTTGAAATAAATGTCTTGAGAGATGTTCTCTCTGTTTTAGAATTTTGCTGTCCTTATCTGCTTACCTGGTCATCACTCACAATCTACAAAAACCTTATACAGGAGAAAAAGTGCTGCGTTTTTCTTTACAGATAACAGTTTTTAGGGAAAATAAGACAAATTTCCACTGTGGGAGTTGTCCACAATACAAAATGTATTTCTTCACAAAACATTGCATAGCAGCAGTAGTTTCATAGATGATTTTTAGGCTTGTTGCTAACCCACATCAGAGACATCTAATGGTTTATCTTTTGCTTTTTGTTGTAATTGATGTAAGCTTTTAAACATAAAAAAGCCATCTACTGTGAAATTTTCTGTCATGTACCAAATGGTCACAGGCAAGGAATTGGACTTTCTCTGAGGGGAGGAGAAAGTCCAGTTTCCAAGGATTATGAGTATAGTTAAACCATTGGGCCATGTTCTCAAATAACATATGATCCCTCTTATATAGTTAATGGTAATTGTGCGAAACAGACAAGCTATTGTGAGAAAAATATATATTATGGAAAGTAGTTTTTATCAGGTCTGTTGATGCTGTACCAGTTGGGGTAGATTCTGATAGGGATGTATTCTTAGCAGGCTTACTTGTAACTTTTAAAGGATAGGCTGTAGGAATTGCTCATCTCCCCACCCCCACCCCAACCCCTAGGTATTGATATTTGTTTAAAAGGGAGGGGTCAGGCAAAACTAGAAGCATAAATAGCTGCTATAAGTTTGCACAGGCACATAGATGAACATTAGTTCTTAGCAGCAGTGTTGTTTTTATTACTGTAACTGACAGAGCACCAGGATTCTTTTAGGGTGTAAAAGATGGGCTTCGGCTTTGAGTATCTTAAAAAGTTTCATTTTAAACATACATCAGTCTGTTGAAATGTGGGAGAACCAGGACCACCCTGGGTTGTGGGTTGGTTTAAAGAATGATGAATCATTGGCTCCACTCAAAAGCACTGCTTTACTGAGCTTTAAATTAAATTTCATACTGTTTCACTACTCAAGAAAAGGTCTTAAAGTAGTTGAGTGCCAGAATAGTATGAATAAAGTTTTAGGTTGTCTGTGTAATAAAAACTCCCAGTGAGGCACAAATATTATAGTGCTTTGGGTTACCAGGAGTGTTACAAAGCAGTTATGGGCTAGAAACCTAAGGAACAGCCATCCTCATATGTGACAGGATTGCTGATTCAGACTTCCCTATTTATCCAGAAAATTTCATGTCCATGTTTATAAAGCCATTTTATAATACTGCAGTATCGTTTTTCTACAGCCTTATTAAAATAGCTACACATATTTATTTTCCAATTCAGTTTCACTTTATTGTATATCACAGTTGTACTCTCCAGACCAACAAACCAACTTGAGGTAAATTATATAGCTTTCCGTGTACCTTTTTTTTTCACCCCTCAGGTGCTAAACAAAAGCTCCAAAAATGGATACTGCTTTAGAAACATCTGCTTTATTCTTAAAATATACATTTCTTTTGCTAGATGTAAAAATTTGGTGTTAACAGAAGTGGTTTTAATATGTAAATATGAATGAATGCCTTTAGTTGCTCGTGTTGTCTGTTAGTCTATTTCATTTATCCTCTTTAGAGGAGGAGCCTTTCATGATCTTGAATACATTTCATTAAGTATTGTTGCATTTTTAGAATGAAAATACAGCTGTTTTCTGTCTTGGATTAATCCTGCTGCTATGAGTAACTGAAAATCAAGAATGTGATGCACTTTTTACATTACTCTATATAGGTTGCTTTGATACCTTTCCTGTAGCACAGCCACTAACAAAAGTGAATGAATTTTAAAATTCTCTTAGGGAGGGAATCAGAACTAATTAATTCATAGTTGTTATTGGCCTATCATGGACAGTAACTTAGGAAAATAAAAATTCTGTTAATATTACACTTTTAGGCCTTAAAAATGTCTTCTACTACTGAAAATCTTTTAAATCATTGTTTCTATTACTCCCTCTCTCTGCCTCAGAAAGAGGAATTGGAAAGAAAGGCTTAAAGGAAGTAGGATCTTTGGTTTGTTGCTGATCTATCTTTTTTAAAAAGAAAACAATTGTCTGTGTAAGCTGGGGTCTTATTTTTGTGTTTGTGTACAGAAGAGAAACAATACTGCCCCGAGCCTGTCAGATTTAGTTTAATCAAATCAATCAAAACTCCCAGTGTTCTGCTTCCCTAGTATATTTTTACATAACAAAAGTAAACATAAGTATAGTAGAAGTGCTACTTGACAAGAGGAAAAGTAATTTCTCAAGCACATACCCAAACTTGAGGGAAATAGAACCCAGAATAACCAGGTGGCGGAGGGAGGGAGGACACCAAATGGGGTGGATGAATATAAGAAAGATGTGTGGTCCAAAGCTATCTGGTTATATTTTGATGTTGCCAGTATTGCAAAGCCAAAATTTTAATTTGCTTATTTAATATGTCTTGGCCAGAGTTCTATTTTTATATCAATGTGCCTTGCATGTATATTAAAAAAAAAAAAATTGGAAAGGCCATGTAGTCATGCCTGAGATAGTTGATGGTTCTTACCACCTCACTAGTTTTCATGCAGTGTGAAATGCTTATTCTATTGCCCAACTGGTGCTCTCTGTTTAAAGATCTTGTCACAAACTGGAACTATTTTATAAACTGGGGAAGTGGTTCACTTTTTTTTTGTAGTTTAATTTTTTGTTCTTAGTCTATTAGCGGCTGTTGTGTAGTGGGAAATAGTAAAAGGATTCTTCACTCCTTTTCCCTGTCCCCTCAGCACCTTCTTAAAGTAAAATGATGACACCAATTCATGTGTGCTTTGGAAAATAATTTCAGCTTACTATCTCCTTTAGTGTTATTTAAAAAGGAGAAAAAAAGTGTTATGAAAAACATTGTTTGCAAAATCTAGGGAGATAAATGGAGTCAACTTTAATTTGGAATTCTGTGTGAGCTATGATCCCAAGTTATCAGCTCTTTCCAACTTTAAATTTTTTATTGTTAAAGCACCTTGCTTAGAAAATTTTAAACATCTATGTCTGCAACAATTGTCTAAAATTAATGAACTGTGCAATTCTTGTCATTAAAAAAATCTGCTCTCCCTAATGTGACTTGTTAGTTTCTCTGTATTTCCTGCCAGTGTAAATGTGAAAAGCTTTGCTTGCATTACCTTTTAGAAATGCATTTTGCACACTCAAATTTTGCCGAATCTCCGTGGAAAGGTTAGTTCTAAGTAGATGAATAAAGCTATGCACATGTTTTTAATTTAATTTGTGTGTCATTACCCAAAGCGACCTATTATTACTTTGCTGTTCTTAGCTTTACTGTCTTTTGGAAACATTGCTCAAACTTATAGTTCTGGATTAGCTCATCAGAACTAAAGAGAAAACTGGCACCTATTTTAATAAACTTCAGTTCAAAAGAGAGCTTGACTTGTATCTATTAAAGGGCTTTTCTTGAAACAGGGCAGTTAATATCAGCTCTACAAACCATTAGATGCTCTTGCTTCCTTAGTAAAATTTCAGTGTATTTGATCAAATAGAAATGGGAAGTAATTCAAGTTGAAATGAAGGAAGGACATTTGCCACATGGAGCTCTGTGACGATTGTGTCTTAAAGCTGGTTTAAAAGTAGAGTAGCCTTTTTACCTTTATTGCTTTAACATAAATGTGGTTTACTGAATGATTGACTTGATTAGAATCATTCAGTTGTTTGAAGATCAAAGCACATGTTATTTTAACAATAATGTATATCTTTAAAATTGCCCAAGCTGATTAGAACAAGTTTAGAAATTGGGCACATTTGGTTAAATAGTTGCAGTCGGCATGTACTAAATAGCTTTACTTCACGTGTATGTGTACTTACAAGATAGTGTAGATGTGCTGGCCAGGTTTTCTCAGATCATCTTTTAAAAGATTGTTTTGTAATCTCTTCAGTACCATTGTAGGAGAGGCTAGTAAGTTTAAGTAGAAGTTATCACTTAAAAGTATTTTCCCCATGCTCCTAGTAGTAAAAGAAATATTTCCATTTAAAGCTTTTCCTATATATAAAAGAGGATTACTTCTTTGTCATCAAGTATGCTCTTGGTGTATGTTGTTGACTTTGAGAACACAGCAAAACCCTTCTGTATTTTCACTGATAGTGGCAATTAAAGACTAAATAGTCTACTATTCAAGACTCAAAAGTTGACTCGTAATGCATGGCCTTATAAGGCAGAAGTGCAGGAGTGTAGCGAGCGCATTATCTTAGATGGCTATGGCTACTCTTTGGCATCTGTCAGTTCACTTACGTTCAGTCTTAGAACATACTGTAGGAGCACAGTAATTTCTGTCTTGTGTGCATAGGCAATTAGGAGCTGAGTTACCTCTTAATTTGGGGGAAAGGAAAACTAGTGGACTACAATGTTAGAGGATGTTTCTCCTTCCTTCTCCCAAATTAAAAAAAAAAAAAAGTCTTAATGTTTATTTTGCCCAATCATAAAGATAAACCTTTTCTAGATATAAGAGCAGTGACCAGAAATTTACCCTTTTGCTAAATGCTTAGGTATTTGCCCTAGCTGTATCTGATGTCATGGATTCTGAGGAAGTGTCAGTTACATGATGATCTTCCTTTATTGATGTCTTACTTCATGTTCAGTGTTTAAAAATATAAATTACAAACACTCTACGACCATACACAGATTTACTTATTTTATCAGAAAAAAAAAACTTGAGAAATTTGTAGATCAAATTAAGAGAATAAGTGTACATTGTTGAATAAAAATTTTAAAGTTTCTGAGGTGTTTGTGTTATCCTTTGTGTGTTTTAATTGTAAAAATCTGCTGAAAACAACTATGATTTTGACGTTGATAATCTTTTGTCAGAGGATCAAATGCACAAAGAATTTCAGTCCTAAATGTATCACGATGATGTGTCATGTCTTTTGTTTTTGTTTTTTTTAATCATAAGAGTTACTCAGGTGCTTAGAAAATAGTGTGTTAAAACAGATGTGAAAGCAGCTTTATTTTTTTGGGCAGAACATTGAGTTTTATTGCTCATCACTTGAAATAAGAAACCAAAATTGAGCTAAGCAATTATCTAGAATGTTAAGTTGGCTGAGATTCTGGGTTTATTCATAGCTTTATGTAAAGAAATATATGACAGTACACATTTGAGAAACTTACTTAGATTTGCCTAGAAGATTTGTCACAAGGTGAAAAAATCAGTGCTGACATTAACAGAACCAGCTGCAATGCAACCTCGGTAACTGTGCCTTTAAACACAAGTAATTAATTCTGGACTATTAACCTACTTGTCTGTGTTTCTTGGATGTTATTTGTCTTTGCTAATAAGAGAAAAAGGAGGAACTGGAGAGAAAAGATAAAAACATTTACCGAAAGTGTATGCGTGTCACTATAAGGTCTGACGACATTTGGGTTGTATGCATTAAGATAGGGAATAATTGTCTTTGGCCTTTTGTAAGAGTGATGTGCAAGGACACAAAAGGGAGTTTCGGGTTTTGATGAAACTTGTCTTGAAAGATTCTCAGCCATAGAAGTTGTGATTTGTATAAAGCATGGTAGTTAATGCAGTCTGCAGAGTTTTTCTTAAATGACATTTATTGATTTCAGCAGCTGACATTTGGAAGCAGTATTTGAGCAGAACATAAAACTCATTCTAGAGAGCTCTTCAAATCTGGTGCTTAGCAGGGTCTCATGCTTGAGGAATTCTCTTACTTGGAGCTTTTAATCCACTATTGTTGGATACGGCGAATCGATTGGATCTGGGAGGTCTGGGCATGAGAACCCCACTCTCTCCAGTGTTTATAGTCTCCTCCATGATGGTCACATTCCAAGATATATTGATACCCACGGTATCCAGGATACTGGTAGCAAACCCAACTAAGAAATCCAAAACACAATAGATTAGTAAAACTAGGAACCTGGTCAACACCCCAAAACTTCAGCCTCTTCCTCAACACATCCTGTATAATGATGTATTTAGGCTTAGGAGATGGCCATCCTAAATGTGCCAGGCAGGATATGGCTAAAAAAACAGTTGCCATCAAGTCAATTCTGACTCATAGTGACCCCATAGGACAGAGTGGAACTGCCAGATAGGGTTTCCAAGACTGTCACATCTTTCTCCTGGGGATTGGCTGGTGGATTCAAACCACCACCATTAGGGTTAGCAGCTGAGCACTTAACCATTGTACTACCAGCGCTCCTATTATATGCTGCAATTAATGTTGATCTAGTTGGCAACCATAGCAGTTGTATGTGCTTTTAAAGACAGCTGATTAAGTCTGGAAAAACCTACTTTGCGCCTGTTTCTTGGATGTTGTCTTTACTACAATACAACTGAAGACCCCAGGAAAGAGAGAGTGGGGAAGAAAAAAAAGGTAGAATAGTCAAATGTTTCCATAGAGGAATGTCTGGGGGAGAAAATCTGATAAAATGTAAGTGGTAGTTGGTACCAAGAATTTGAGATTCAAAATTACCAGTAACTAGAATGTGACATCCATACCAATATGATTTCAGTGTATAAAATCTTGATAAAACATGACCAATGATGTATTAATATTTATAAAATCTTCACTTGGAAGAGTTACTTTGAAATTGCTCCAAACCGTTTTTTGCACTTACGCTCCACATCGTATCTTCATGGAACCGACTTCATTGTTGAACCAGCCCATGGCTTGTAAAGACGGGTAGTCATCACTGATCTCCCATTGGCGTCCAATGAAGTTTTCTTTCTCAAAGATGGTAATTTTAGACTCCTTGTGGTTCTGTAATACATAAATTTTAAAAAATAGTACCAGTGTTACGGCTGTTAAACCTTAATTCTTTAATTGCCATATATTATTCAAATTGGAAACATTTACTTTCCAGTTTAAGAAAGGAAGTACGTGATCATTGTAAAGAGATTCAGGCAATACAGACATAAGAAAAAATTACCCATAATCCTGTTTAGTCAAATTTAATGTAACATTTAAAATGTACAAATAACTGATTTTATACTTTGGAACAACAAAAGACCAATGAAGAAGATATGACAGCTGGAGAAAATACTTGCAACACACAGCCAGCCAAGGAATTAATATTCACTAATGTGGAAAAAGATTCCATAAGTTAATAGGAAAAGTAAGTCGAAGTTAACGTGTGTGGCATATAAAATATATACATATTTATATATAACATATATATATATAACTATAAAACTATACGATGTAGTTGATTTACCACGAGCCACACTTGCGACCATTTTCTTTTTCGAGGGAGGGTACATCTTATCCTTAGTAATAAATACTACATACATTGTTGCAGCACATAATTTGCTGATGTTATCATTCTCAGATGTAATGTTTCCAATCCCCAAAGACAAAGATCAGATTTATAAAAATGCTGATAATAAAAGGCAATAATGAAAACTAGAAAAAAAATGAGGTATTCGACTTAACGTTAGAGCCGACTTATGACATCGTTAATCAGGGACTACTTGTATATGTTGGAAGTAACCTAAATGGCCAGTAGGGGATTGGTTGAATTAAGTTGTGTTTATGTAGAATACTACACAAGCATTAAGGAAGCAGAGACTAATCTGAAGTTCAGAAACGGAAAACTAACCCTGCTAATGGTTGGGGAACAATTGACTGGAACCAGACACCAGGAAACTCTAAGGAGTGATGGAACTGTTGTGTCTGATTAGTGTGTTGTTACGTGGGTGTATATATTTTTCAAGACTCATTGAATATGTGCTTAAGATGTGTGCATTTACTGTATGTGAATTATACTTAAAAAAAAGATGAAAATCACTTCTAGGCAGGGCTGTGTTTTTTAGGTTAGAGTTGTTTAGGTTTCTTTCTGCACTACCTGAATTTTGGTAAGACTGTGAGGTAAGGTCATTATTAACTGAAATTGTTGGGAAAAATCACATGATATATATATATAGACTATTTGGAAAGGTTCTAATCCAGTCTCAATACAAGGATGATTTTCAACACATCCCTGAAGGTCATCCTGCTTCCACTTGAACTCTTGAAAAGACTTTTTTTTTTAGTGCTGGATAGTGCTTAATGTTAGAAATAAAAATATGAATCAAAGCAGAGATATTGGAAGACTTACCTGTTAAGTCATTCTCACTTATTGGAGTTAGCTCAGCGTTTCCCTATTCTGTACAGTAAAGTTATACAGATTGAAATTTATCTGGTCAAGGATTTACTTTTTCCCATAGTACTCTCGCTAGTTGTCCTACAGCACTTTTGAAGATCTGGACTCTCGAGTCTCCATTTCCTGCCACCTAACCTATAAGAAGGCGCTTTCTTTTAGCTTGTCTTAAGGAAAATACCATCTGGTAGAGAAAAAATCAAATGGCAGGCCTGGAGAAAGAGGGGAGTGATGTTTTCTTTTTTACTTTTGTCCTTCATGCTGCTACATCTCAGCCTAACTGAGAAGTAACTTAAATGTCAGTCTGCCCACACCCTCTCTTTCCCCATCCCCCACATGCACAGAGACTCACAGCTGAACAGATGGGGCGGAAAGACATGAGACGCTCAATGTGGTAGGCATTACTCCCGCTCCAGGCATCCCAGCGAGGGTATTCTCCTCTCTCCAGTATAAACTGTTGTCCACAGAAGCTGGTATGCTCATAACCAATCCAGCTGCCAAAGATAGATGGTGGTGCTTCAGGATGTTCAGAGCCTACATGGCCTCAGGGAGAAGGCATCTTTTCTTTCAGATAATAGTGGGGTAAAACATCGAGTCAATAAGGCTTTACAAGGTCATAAATTTATCATAAGAGGTAGGGAATGAGCTGGCAGTCACCTAAGCCGGTTTATAAAGGCGATATTTGCTTTGGGACTAACCACTGAAAGGTTCTACTTCATTGACCCAAGAAATGTATTAACAAAGCCAGTCTAAAGTTATCTATTTTTTCTTCAAGTCACCTCATTCTGTACTTGGAGCTCCAAGTTCAGCATCTAGTGACTATTGCACTGGCTCTAGCCAAACCTGTTGGCTTCTTCCCAAGGAAGTAGAGGGATGAATGGGTATTTGGTAGATTACTGTTTGTTGTTTCCTTGCCACTTTGTGGGTTCTTCCTCCTGCTGCTCCATACCTACACCTTATTTATTGAAACATCTCAGATCAAATTTTCATAGTCAGGTCTCAGTTACGACACCTTAAAGCGTTACTCCTTCTAAAGGGTTGAAGAGCTTTGGTGGCAAGCAACTTATGGGAGCCTGTCCTTATGCAAAGCCAGTTCTGCCAAGGCCAAAGGAGAGTCCTTCCCTATGCATTTTCAGGCGGATGATAAAGGCCCTGACTTTGCAAAGTCAAAAGAATAAAGAGCCAAAGACGAAAATGAGATGGACAAAGGAGATCAACCATTAACCAGAAGCCCCTGGAAAACGGAGTAGCAACTAATGTGGCTTTTGAGTCACGGGATTGAGTGCCCTTGCACATAGAAAAATTAGCTGGCAGTTCTGCTGTGAGACATACAGGAGAGCATTAACAGCAAAGAGGCCTGCACCCTGATGGTTTTCTCTCTACCTATTCTCTGCAGGCAAGAAAACTCAAGGGTCCTGTGGCTGTTCTGAGGAAATCATAGGTAGCAACCCATGGGCTCTGGAAGCACAGATCTGAGTACTGTCACTGCCCCATCCATGGTATATACTTCTTTAATCCCCTCCCAAACCCAATACCAAGCCACTAAGAACCTTAGGCTCTTTCTAGCTTTGGGTTAGTACATTACACATGTCCTGATTTCTTTTGAGATTATGTCAGCATGGAGGCCTCTCTCCCAGAAACAGGTCTGGGGGAACATCTGTCTTCCCCTGTCTCCACCCTTATGGTCCCATGCTGAAGTCCATACTCACACGCCACATTCCACCTTGAGAGACCGGACATTATCAAAATTGCGCTCAGAGACATTTGAGCAGGAGCTGGTGAACTCCATCCTCTTGCCCTGGAAGTTCTCCTGGTCATAGATGGTAATCTGAAATGGGATTGAATGGGGCCATAGAGCTAGAACTTGGTACATCAAGAAGAACAGAGGCCCAAGGCAACAGTTTACTTGTGTCTGACCCTGTGTTTTCTGTCACCAATTGCAGCCCAGGATGCCCAGGGTCATTATGTTGGCCTGATAAGGTATTTTCCAGTATAGACAAGGTAGGAAGGGGTTTGAATTAACACCACTGGTTGGTGGTGGTCACGTGTCCAGGCTAGTGATGAGGTGTGGGAGGACTGGTTCATAGGAACGGTCTGCCAGGGACCATAGCTACCCAATGAACAGACCAAGGATTTGGTGGTTTTAGCCATGTGGACTCTCGTTTCACCAAATTTTCTGTGTAAGTGTGGCCCAGAGGCCAGGATCCTAGAAGTCACAGGAACTCCCTTTGTGTTATTCCTTAGCTTCTCCAGCCACACCCACTGTAGAAGCCTAAAGTGTAAAGGGAGAGTTGTGATGAACCCTCTTTATTCCTTGAACTAGAACTTGGCTCTTGGACCTGGCCGGAGGACAGAGAGCACTCCCAAAGCTGTGAAGTGGCCTCAGAGTTGATCCAATGAGAAGCGCAGAGATGCAGTATGAGGGGGAAACAGTGAAAGGACTGAAGATCAGCCACTTTAGCCAATGGCTGGAACCAACTTCAAGTTGGGAGTAGGAGACCTCAGTCCTACTTATTTGGGGTCTGGTGGCAAATCTATCTTCATTTCTGGGTCCTCAGTTTCTCCATGGGCACAATCCCCTCTGGACTGCTTTATTTTAAGGTGAGTTTAGCAGTGTGGAGGACAGTTGACCTAGGAATCTAGGTAATCATCTCCCACCCATCATGGGCTTCTAGGGTCATCTTTCCCTGTCCCAACAGGGGCCTCTTGAGAGATCCTTCAACGGTGTCTGCACCTTGGGTAGACCCTGCTTCTACAAACAGTAGCATTTCATTGGTCGATCACTGTCTCATGGAAAAGCATAGCTGCACTACAACCCTTTGGTCTGCTCTGTGGCGGTATCTCCCCCCCTGCTGTGTTGGATCTCCATTCCTCAATTTTCCATGTGATAGGGTGGGCTTACCTTCCATGGCCCTATGGACCCTGGCATGGGGTTGGTCTGAGCCATCTTGGTGGTTGGAAGGGTTTCTGGAAGACAGAACACATACCAGTGACATGGTCTCTAGAATGGGGGAGGGAGCAGTCTTGAAATCCAATAGACAGACTAGTTGGAATCTTGGCTCTGCCGTTCATTAGCTAAACCTGTGTTTCCATCTGTAAAACTCTATGTGCAGGGTTGTTGTAAGGACTAAAGGCAATAGTGCAGGTAAAGCACTGCACAGGCATTGTGACCTGATAAATGTAGCTCCTGTCCTTGCTCCTCCTCCAGTCACCCCCTACAGGTGGCAGTATTGCCTCAGGCTCACATACCCCAATATAAATTCCTTGGCAACCATCTAGTCTAGACCCCTCATTTGCTTGGCCACACAGCCAGCAGCTCCAGGCTCTGCCAGGACTCTCACCCCACCCCATCCCCGATTCAAGGGCAGTCTAAGCTTTACAGTCTCACCCTCACAGTTTTACAATCCCTCCTGGCTTCTCTATCTTTTAAGACCTACCCAGCCCTGGTTTTGCCTCCTCAGAGAAACTTTCCTGCCTTCCACAGCCTGCAGTGACTTTCTCCCCTGATTTCTAGCGCCCCTCACAGTACTGATTTGTGTTCTTATTGAATACGTTTTGGGTGAACATTTCAACGACAGGACCTGGGTCAGTCACCTGTAGCACGTGTTCAGGGAGGGAGGTGTTGAAAAAGACTTATTGAAGGAAAGTGGGGAATAAAAGAGAGTAGTAATAATAACTAGCACTTAACAACGACTCACTCTATGCCAGGCACTGTTCTAAATGCTTTTCATGCATTAATGTATTTAATCTTCACAACAAGCCTAGGAGGTAAGTACTATCATTATCCCCATTTTAGAGATGAGAATACTGAGGCTCACAGAGGTTAGGTAGACAGAAAAGATGGCTGAAGAATAAAGGAAAGTAGGGAGGGAGGGACAAAGAAAAGGAGGGAAGGAGGGAAGAAATGAAAGGAGAGAGGGAGGCAAGACAGGAAGGTTTGCGTCGGGCTTCTTGACTCTGGATGCATTTCATGGCTCTCCGCTTTGGCTGGTATCAGGCCCAGGACCTGATGCTTGTAAACTCTGTGGTACATTTTTCCACTCTGAACCTCTGAATAAGCAACATCTCCCAGCTCCTGTCCCTTAGAGCTTCTCCCTGTGCACCAGGAGTCAGCGCCCTTCCTGGGGCCCCATGTCCCACTCTCTCCAGTCATGGTTGCTGGGGCAGTGGTTTTTGCCATATAAGTGACTCTTCTTGGGGTGGCAAGAGGAGAAGGCTGCCTCCTCCCAGAGTTTGCCCACTGTTGTCTAGCCATCCTAGAAGGCTCTGACCACAAGGCAGGAAAACCGAGCCCCTTCCCGGGTGTGTCTGCAGGGGAAGGCAAGGAAGGGCAAGGACACCCCTTGGGCCTTACTTACCCAGCTCCTGCGGCACACTCTGGGTCTCCATCTGGTGCCACATCCTCTGCAGCCGCCTTTTTATAGGCCTGCGGCCTCTGGCCTCTGGCCCTGTCAGCACTCTGCTTTCCCTCCACCTTTGTTCCCCCTGATCCCCAGAGCTTTGGTGGCTCAGCCTGCAGGCTAGGCACCGTTGGGGGCCTTTGTTTAAACGAGGGATGCAGAAATCCAGAGAGGCCCCTGTGGCTGTGGGCAAGAGGCCTTGGCTGCTGTGGTCTTATCCTTGGAGCAGCTGGAAGTGAGGACAGGGGATCTCTGCGGTGAAGATTTGTTCCCTCTTCTCCAAGTTTCTCACACCATGCCAGAGCCTTCCTAAGACCTTGGGAAGCCCCAGTTTATATCAACCATATCAAAATATACCTCACTTCCCATATGGAATATAGTTTCTTGTTTAAAAAGTACAAAAGGATTATTGTAGTTCTAAACTACAGGAAAAAAATGATTCACTGTAATTTATATATATTTAAGAGTTGGAAACCCTGCTGGCATAGTGGTTAAGAGCTATGGCTGCTAACCGAAAGGTCGGCAGTTTGAATCCACCAGGTGCTCCTTGGAAACCATATGGGGCAGTTCTACTCTGTCCTGTAGGGTCGCTATGAGTCGGAATTGACTCGATGGCAACGGCTTTGGTTTTTTGGTTTTATGTAAGATTTGGATTCAGTTACAGTTGACTGGTAGACATGAGTCTCTGTAGCTATTTTATTAAACATTTATTTTAATTTTGCAGTTTTCTTTTGAAATTTTGGAGCCAATAAATATTTTGAAGTCCTAAATATATTGTTTTACTGGTTGCTGTCTTATCAATTCCAACTCATGATGACCCCATGTGCGTCAGAGTAGAACCGTGCTCCATAGTGTTTCCAGTGGCTGACTTTTCGGAAGTAGATTGCGAGGCCTTTCTTCCAAACATATTGTTTCAGGCCCTTGGAAATCCCATAAGTCCAAGATTCTGTGCCTGTCATACCCTAATGGATAAAATGACTTCTCCATAGAAGTTTAGGGCGCTAGGTCAGGGTGGGGTAGAAGAACTGTGGGCCTCCCTAGGATCTCTGAAGAAGAGGATGTGTTGTTCAAGTATCATAGCCACTGTGAGAGGCAGCGTGGTGCAGTGGGTGGGGAGGGCTTTGAGCCATGTAGATATGGGTTCAAGTCTTAGCTCCCCTGGCTGGGTGACTTTGAGCAAGTCGCTCAGCCTCTCTCAACCTCAAAAAAGGAGATAGCATATCTGTCTGACATATTGTAGCTTTATTGATATTTATTGCCCTACTCTCTTCTGGGGACAGTTACTGTAGAAAATCACATAGCAGCTTGGAGAGAGAAAGAAACTTTCCCTAAAAAAGTTCTTTCCCGCCAATACCTCGAGGCTGTGATCCAAGCATTATTGGAGCACCCTTTATCTCAGAACCAAAAATTAGGGGATGGGGTCTGATATATACACGAATATTTGCAGATTTGCGCAGAACATTTCAGACATAGGGGTCTGATGCCCAGCCCAGCATGCCACCCCAAGGATATTTCTACTATCTGATTAATTGGTCATGTCTGATTAATTGGATCAATGGCTAGCAAGGGACAGAGTCACCCTGGGGATCGTAGCAGCTCTGGCTGGCTAGTGGCTGTGCAAGGACTTAAGGTACCAGCTGCCCACGACTGGCAGTTCTCCCTCCCTTCTCCTTCTCTTTATCTTTTCTTCCTTCCCCAGAATTGGGCTTTTAGAGAAAGACTTATTTGGTTGGTCCTTCATTCATTCGTTTCCTAACACCTGGACTAGTTTAGATATACCTCTGTAATGTGCCCTCATGGCACCCTATACTTATCCGATTATTGAATTGTTCATGCTATAGAAATTATTCTAGAAACTAGAAATATTGGTCTTCAAAGAGGGGAACTGAGACACTTAGGGCTAATGTGTATGACCAAACTTTTCACAGTAACTTTTTCTATAATTTTTGAATTTTGAACAATGTGAATATATTTTCGATTAAAACAAAGTTATTTTTGAAAATAAAGGAATGGATTATTTAATTATCTGCCTCTCCCCTTAGACGCCATACTCTATGAGGGCTGGAACCTCATCTGTCTTGGTCATCATTACATCTTCGGCTCTGGGCATAACTTCTAGCTCAATAAATAGTTTTTGAATGAGTGAATGCATAAAAGAATGACATCCTATGACTGGGCTTTGTCTGGGGCCACAGAGGAAACTGTAGTAGTCTTTAATGTTAGGAGTGCCCAAGAGAACTCAGCCCCCTTACCTTGGCCTCTCTGGGCAGGCTCCAGGTTGCTGTGCGCATCTTCCTTGGGAGGGTTATGGAAGAGTGACTGTGGGCCGCAGGTTGGACAGGTATTGAAGGAGGCTGAGGCAAAATGGAATTTGACTGAGAGGCCCTTTGGGAGCCTTGGAGAGAGATTGCCACAGCTTGCCTGCTTGTGCTGTGTTTGTGTTTCAAATACTCTCAGCAATTTAATTTTGGAGCTTTATACCCCACTGAATTGTTAGAACAATGAAGACTGATTTAGTTAATTTTTTACTTTTGCAGCAAAGTGGAGCTTTTATGTTTGAGTGAAAAGCCCAAACACACACGCACAAAACCATTGTGGAGGGGGAGAATCAGGGTTATTGTGCAAACAATTTATAAGTATCCATCAAACATTCCTGAAGTTATAAGCACTTGTAGTCTGTCTTCTTGCTTTCCTCAGTCACCTTGTTGTTGTTAGGTGCTGTCGAGTTGATTCTGACTCACAGCGACCCTATGTACAACAGAATGAAACATGGCCTGGTCTTGCGCCATCCTCACAATCATTGCTATGTTGGCCCATTGTTGCAGCCTCTGTGTCAATCCATCTCGTTGAGGGTCTTCCTCTTTTTCGCTGACGCTCTACTTTACCAAGCATAATGTCCTTCTTCAGGGACTGGTCCCTTCTGATTACATGTCCAAATTTTGTGAGATGAAGTCTTGCCATCCTCGCTTCTCAGGAGCATTCTGGCTGTACTTTGTTTGATCACCGCAAGTCCCTGAAAGTTTGAAATGGATTCCTAGGTCTCCAGCGCTAACAACCATCGTTTCCAAACACCACTTCAATATTGTTTTTAACCAAGTTCCAGAGGATTCCTCCTCTGACATTGTCTAGAACTGTTGCTTCACCTGCACCCACATCTGTCATGGCTTTGGAGCTCCGGCTTCCGCCCCCATCTCTTTCCAGGAAAGTTAGGGCAGACTTACTCCAGGCATGGAGTGAAGGGAGCCACCAGCTTCTGATCCTTTCTTCTAAGCTGGGTTTGGGTCTCTCCTGTTCAGCCTTAATAATAATAATCACAGCTTACTGAGCATTTACTGTGAACCAGACAGTCTCCCCCTTAATCCTCACAACAGCACCATGAAGTAGACAATTATTCTGATCATTTTACAGATGAGTTAGCTGAGGTTCTGAGAGGCCAAGTCAAATTACCTAGGGAACTCAGCAGAGACTTAAATGCATGTCTGTCTGACCGCAAAGCCCATATTCTTTCCTCTGGGCAACTCTGTCTTTCTGGCATGAAATAATATGATAATACTTACCTTACTCTTTGTTGTCAGATGAAAGAGATAAAGGCGTTCAGGGCAGTGTTTGGCACTCAGTTAAATCTCAGTAAATGGTAGTTGTCATTAACCGTGCCAAATCAGATACCATCTTGTACCAGGTTCTTATAGAGACAAGTGGGAGCAAGAGCAGCAAAGAGTTTAGAAATATTTATCAGATTTTTAAAAAATGTCGTTTTGGTATCTGGAAAAGATCACATTCATGCAGTTTTTATTTTTCCCAACGTTTTTCTTTATTCAATTTTAGCAGTGCATTCTGTCATTATATTTTTCTAAAGAGCATTGATCTGCTGGGGACATAGATTGCAGACTTGAAATGAGTGCTTTTTTGCTCATTGCACAAGCAGGTGGGGTAACCGGCTGCCCAGTGGTATGGGCTGTTAGATTTAGGGGTGATGACTGAATTAAGAGGAATGTGGCAACCCCCCTGAGGTGTTACCTGGGCAGTTTGAACCTTGTGCTCCTCAACACTAGGGCTACCTGCCAAGCACAGTAGATACTCAATAGAATTCTATGGACACCTTGGGCCCCTTGGCCTTGCCTTTGGGCCAGGGAGCCTCATAGGATAAGGACAGCAGGGAAAGAGGTGAGGCCATGAGGTCAAGGCAGCCCCTGGACTCAGCACTTTGTGGTCAGAGCACAATGGGGCTGGCGAGGCATTTGACTAGCACTTCGGTTTGTTTGGGAATAAGCACGATGGGCACAAAGCAAAGGGCCCAGTCAGCATTCAGCCAGTGCTCTCTTCTACACAAGGGGATGCTGCTGGGAGACCGTTTTTGCCCTGTCCCTTGCTACCTCTTTAAAGAGGTGGGGAGACCAGGGCCTGGCTGGGCTGGAGAAGGCTATAGGGCAAGTACCAGGGGAGAAGCTGGGAGGCATCTTGAGCCTTGTGCTCTTTCTGGACACTTTATGAGGTCATTCATTCCTCTGCTTCCAGGGACAAGTGGATGCCCACCTGCTCCAGGAGCTCTGTTGTCTTGAGGCCCCAGCCTCCCTCACTGGCTTCCTCTGTATATAACTGGCTTCAGAGCATTTTCAGTTCACTTCGCTTTAATTAAATTTCTCAATACTGAAGCTTAGTCCTTTTTTCTTATCTAGAACTCTATGAACAAGTAAGTGTGGGACTTGTCTTACTGGGGGATGTTCAGTCCACTCTATACTACAGCCAAGCAGCCCAACTCTGTCTCATTTAGAGTTGCCAGATTTAGCAAGTAAAAATATAGGACACTCAGTAAAATATGAGTTTCATATAAACAATGAATATTTTTAGTATTAGTAGATCCCAAACATTTTTACACAAAATTATTTGCTGCTTATCTGATATTCAAATGTAACTGGGAATACTATATTTTATCTGCAAACCCTATTCTCCTTTCTCCTTTGTCTGGAGCATACTGTGACACCCCTTCTGCCTGTTTGCTTC